AATGCGTTAAAAAGCATCCATAATGCGCAGTACATTAATTCAAATGGGCTGCACACTTTCAAATGGGTAGCACATTGTTTCAAATGGGTAACACGCGATTTAGGTAGCACACTATAATGCGTACCACTGTTAGTACTTTTAAGTGGTTAGCACATGTGTTTAATTTGGTATTACCTAGATCGTTCAATGGAATGTTGATACCGGGAAACCTCTTTAAAATCTCCGAAAAAGTACACCAAAGATAGGCCTCATAGTGACTGTGAAAGATGTCGAAAAATTATGTAGATCGAATATGGGCTGCCGATACTGCACATAAAATTGTCAATAAGTTTATAATTAAACACCGTACATTTTAATGGCCCATTTCAGGCTTCTTTTATATTCATAAGCCCGACAAAATGACCCTTTCTAGTCCTATTCTGTAGTTGCGCTATAATTTAATTTCCCACAAACTAGATTCCCATGGTACTCTTTGAGGTGAAGCAGCACAAGGTTTGTATTTTCTTGCTTGTTTTATGTCCATTTTTATTCATAAAAATGTTGTTTATAAATACACAGTAAAATGCAGTTTTAATATACAGGCATAATTTTAAATACATGCTAATAGCCATTAAACAGTGGTCTTCGGGCGGGCTTCCTTATAAAAAGCTTCTAGAAAAATTCACTACAGTACTTCGAGGCCTCCTGTACTAGTTGCCTAGTAACTAATCATAAAATCGGAAAGAAACTTTCCCACAACCAAGGTTCCCAAGGTGCTCATGAGGGTGAGAAGGCATATTCTTTGTACGCCGCCTTCAGGAATGTCCGCGTTACACTGCAAAGACAGAAGTAGGTCAGACGCTGTGAAGGTGTTCAAGTGCGTTCACCTACTTCATGTCACCATTAACTTCGAGTCATCAATCTGATGATCATATTTATAAAAAATAAAATACATGAATTGTAAAATACTATAGTTTAAATGGAATGTAAAAATAATGTATTTTAATATTCTGACATAAAAGTATATTTGATTAAACAAATTAAATCATAATCGTAACAACATTCCTCGGCCTTTATTACGAATAATTCAGAAATTGATAAATACAAATATGTACTTGACTTTTTACTTCTGAATCTGTAAGAAGAAAAAGAACACGATAAATTATATTCAAATTACTTGTAATTAATAACAATTGTAAAAAACTTCAAACACTGAATCATACTAAAAAAAAATACAAAGAATATTGGGCCTATGATAGTCAAGCATCGTAAAAACAAAAATACAAAATAAATTAATTAATACCCAGTCCGAAAC